TTTTGTATATTTTTGAAAAACATGCTTTTACAATAAATTTAAAAAATGATATGACAAATTAAAATAAAAAATAAAACTATTCTAGAACATTCAAGAACATCGAAATTTATATAGCAGTCGATTTGTCTAATTGTGATCGATTGAGCTATTATACAACTCATATATAATTTTTACCCGAATTTCAGCTGTGTACATGAATTATATCGCGATTTACTACGAGACTGACATTTTTGGACATTTTTTGAAAACAAACATATTTTTACCATAAATTGAACAAAAATTTCTTCGGATATAGAATTTTGACTGTCGATTCTATGGATTCTAGAATTCAATTTTTTTTGCGTTCACCTCTACTCGACACTGGTTATCGATTGGTATATTACACATATCGATACCTACGTTGAAACATATCTAACTGAAGCGTCTAATATATCGATGTCCATTCAGAATACTATATAAACAGATACTCAAGCCAGCTTCCAAGATGAGTCATCGTACATTTTTGATCGTCTGTCAAAATGAAACATTATACATTCTAGGACCTATTGCCACACTGAAATTTCATTGATTCTTTGGCCGGCTTCCAAAATGAAACATCATACATTGTTGAGCGAATTGTCAAACTGAAATATCATATACTCTTGAGCCTTTTTTAGCCAGATTTAAAATTCGTAAATCAATTTTACAATCGATTTACAATTGATAAATCGATTTTACAATTCATTTACAATCGATTTACAACCCATGGATCCATTTTACAATTCATTTACAATCGATTTGTAACTTAATCCACTCAAAATAAATTTCAAACCACTTAACCCGGGCCCCAAAAAATGGTTTCTGAAATATGCAGAGCATCCGAGAATACTTTATAAACACAAATTCTAAAAAAGGGTAAATTTTTTAGCACATCGGTACGGTCTGGGGAAAGGCTTTTCTGAGAAAACCCAAAAATGCCAGAATTTGTTATAAAAGATTGCCATATTTTGTTTTTTAACACTATAGAGCATTCTAAAACATTCTAAAATACTTTTTCAGACATTAGTACAAAAAATTTTGAAAAAATGTGCAAAAATTTGAAAAAGTTGATTGTAAACACGTCGGTCTCGGTATTTGATTGTAAACACGTCGGTCCGTCGGTCTCGGTCTCGGACTCGGTCTCGGTCTCGCTATTGAAAACACCGGGTAATATACTTTCTTCCCATACAATTAGTATTGGTAAATTCGATGAATAGATATTACAGCTGTTTAATGAAGAACACAGTAAATTTAGTCTTCCTCAATATTCGTATTAAAACTATTAGTATTTCTCAAATTTTTTATTCGGTTTTTATGCATTGAAAAAACATAAATAAACTAATTTAAAGAAATTTATACATTTTTTATGTTCGTGCCCTGTCAACTAATTTTAAAATTACTTCTTCCTCTCGCAATTACTGTTACAAAATTTATCTTTCTTCCTTAATATTGAATTAAAAATGTACACTCTAGCACATTGCAGGAAACAGATTACCATATTACCTGTAATTAACTCCCTCTGGAGGAAAGCCGTGTAATTAACGCCCCCTCTAATTAACCCTCCCTTGTATTTACCGCATCCCCCAAAATTGTTTTTTCAAATTTACCGAAAATTCAAATTGTTTGATACGAATTTGAATCTTTAGTACAACTTTTGCCATTTTTCACCTAATTTTGAAAAATTTTGCCAAAATATTGCCAAAATATTAGTCGAAGCCCAAAAAATTCAAATATTTTTCAAAACACTTTTGGCGGTAATTCAAAATTGGCTTAAATTTTCAAAAATTTTGAGACACATTGCCAAAACTTTAATTTTTGTCTCTTTATTGGATGTGGCTAATTTGGGGTGGCTAATTAAAGGATTTACGGTATTTTAATAATTATAGAAAAATGACGTCGTAAGATTCACTATAACTATGGACATATTTTTGGATGTTATTCCAATATTTGTGAATAGTATATTCTTGACGGTAAGTAAGTAAAAATATGATAATTACATAATTATTTGTTAGATGCACTTTAAATTGGGAAGTTGTTACTATCTGAGACCCATTTTAATATATAAAAAGAAACTCACAACTTTTTCTCATATTCTGGTAGAGCCATGGTTGGGAAATTCGACAAATTCAAAGGAAGGATTGATATCGAAGCTAATCGAATTTATTTCCAGAGCAATCCTCTTGGGACCACCATCTGTTAAAAAATATTTTACAAAACATGGTATTTTGACGAAAAATCTGACTGTACCAGTGAATGAAGCTCAAAAAGTTGGTATATAGTTGTCATAATCAGATTTTGTATTCAGAAGGAAAAAATTCGAGAAAACGTGAGACTGAAATTTGTTACTAGTTTGACTATGCAAATTTTAGTCTCAAATTTTCTCGCTTTTTTCCTTCTGAATACAAAAGGAACTGGACTATTACTAATACTGGATAACAGCTCCGCCGGAGCTCTAATTTTAGCGGAGCTCGTACTATTTCACGTCGGGGTGCAAATTTTTCAGGATAGAACTTGTACAGTAAGGATCGGAGAGTCTCTTCTTTCGATGTCATTTTTCTTTAATTTCAATCAGACCTGATTTCAACTACCTAATTAGAAGTCTGATTTCAATCAGACTTGCTTTTTAAAAAACCAAGTTATATATTTTTGGAACCTAGACAAAATTTGCTACAAGTATTTTTTTAAATCCAGTGGCGGAATGCCAAATATTGCCTAATTGGCGCCAATTTAAACAAGTCCAGATTTCATTTGATCAACCTTTACAATCAGTTTTTCGCTTTTCGTCAAAATTCCATGTTTTGTAAAATATTTTTTAACAGATGGTTGTCCCAAGCGGATTGCTCTGCAAATAAATTCCATTAGCTTCGATAAAGCCTTCCTTTGAATTTATCGAATTTCCCCACCATGGGTAGAACTCAAAATTTTCTTCTATGACAAGCTATCGGCATGCACCGCTAATCGCTTGTTAGCAATTGAGTTTTGGTGCCAAATAAATAAAGTTACAGATAGCCGATTTCTTTCCTGCGGTTTATATCGGTCAGTTAGTATCCACGCTCGGATTCCTCAATGTTGCCGTTTGTTCTATTTATTACTCGTGGCGATTGACAAGAAAAACGAATTGGATCTGGACTAAAGTATGTAGAGGCGAGCATTTTACTACAGCTGTTACAGCAGCATAAACAACCGCCGCCATTTAACTAATCTTTATTAAAAAGCGTACGTTTAAGTAAATGGAGATGAAACTGTGATTTTATTTAGTTATTTATTCAACCATTTTCATAAAGGAATATATGATTTTGTATTGGAAAACATGCATTTTAGTGATATTAGTAGAGCATGAATTTTGGTGACATTATTTGTATTACTGTAATATATCCCGCATCACCTTCCGATCCGTAGCTCCCAAAACACCCCTCCGAAAACACAACAATCGACGCTCATACACGTTTGATAAAACTGCTGTTTCGTCGAAACATTTGTCTCATCAATCGTCAACCATCAATCTCTATTGTAAGGCTAGCTTTAGAGTAAGTTGTAGGCAATGGGTAATTGTGTACTGACATTATTTCAGCCTCTAAACCGGGCACGCTGAGACAGAAACTGCAAAAAAATTTATGCTCTCCGGCACGAAAACTGAGAAAATGTGATTTTCGGGGTTTTTCAACTTCCCCGCCTCCACACAGTTTTCGGAGACCTTGGTCTTTAAGCATAGGTCTATGCCAGTTGGTAGAGGAAAATCTGGTCCGGTCCACCACTTCGGCTTCTAGAAGCCCTGAGGGCTTTTAGCTGTATCTCGCTTGGGAATCAAAGGAATGGGCTCAATTTTTGTCCCTATATCTCTTCATTTCGCAGTGTATGGAAATCCATACGATATTGATTTGCCTTCTCCTTCACAAAAAGAAAGAAATATATAGCAAATCGATCTCACTGAGTTCGAATTGGGATCAGAATTTACCTTGGAACCTTCTTGAAGCTTCCATCTTTGGCGGATTGTTCTGATCGACAGTTTGTATGAACGAAATTTTATCTATTATATACTTTTTTCTCCCATTAACAAATCCATCCTCACGTTTTTCAAAACGTGTATTTTTGGGATTCAGTTCGATCGATTATACATTGGAAAAATAGCGAGCATAGAAAACCAGTGATTATTATTCCGCATTTTGTATCTTACTCAGGCCCGTACATGGTTACAGAAAACTACAACAGCCTTGTGGGCCATTGCATGGCTTTGCATGGCTTTATTTACAGAACAATCCGGTTGGGACCAACAATGCTCAAATGCAAATTTTGAATAGCTTTTTCCGTATTTGAGAGCGTTGAAAGAGAAAGCCGTCCGTTATGGTTTTCAATCATGCTAATCTCGAATCAGAACTAAATTTTTAAAACCATAGAGGAAACCCTATTGTTTTTTAGCTTCCGAATTTCGGGGGGTTACAACCCCCCTAACCCCCCCCCTAGTTACGATCCTGATGTTACTGTCGGTTTATTTCTATGATTTATCGTTAAATTATTACTCCGCTCATCTCTTCTAGAGATAACAGAACATAATTCTTTTCCTACTAGCACTTTTTAGACTCCCTACGGGAGTCTAAAAATTTATATGTTGTCTACATGCATACCTGTTCTAAGTTCCCTCGCATGCCAAGGGGGAAGGTCGGGCGCTCCGCGCCCGAGCCACCCTCTGTGGCTCGCAAACTCAGACTCAGTCAAATTTTGTCAGGGACTCAGTCGAAAAATAAACACTGGATAGAATGCCCTTCCTGAAAAAAGCGGGACGGACACGAAAATTGAGGTACATTTTAGTTAAGTTTAGACCTCAAATTCGAATTCCCCGCGAAAAGTTACCCTAAAATGGGTACATTTTAAAAATAAGCTCCCCTAAGAATAGCCTCCATGAACGTGCGACAGAGGGAGGGACGCACGGACGTCACTGGCTTACTATAAGGATATAAACGAATATTTCTTCTTTACTCTCATGTGCCGCAATAGCTCAGTTGGGAGAGCGTTTGACTGAAGATCAAAATGTCCCCCGTTCAATCCGGGGTTGCGGCAAACATTTTTGAATTTCGAAGAAAAACACAAAAGGCGAAAATTGTATGTTTCTGGATTTTGTCAATCGATTTTTGGATTGATGGTGTATTTTTTTGATATCTTTTTATAGCTTTTAGCAGCGAAAAGCACAAATGTTCTAAAGATATAAATTATATTGCTCGAAGTGCAAAATTATTCTTAGCTGGTATTCCTTTCTCATAATAATGAACAGGAGCATGATCTTTTCATATTGCAGTTGTCAATTGAGAAACAGAGCATGGTTATGGGTGGGGCATATCAAGGCTGCAACCGGAATTTCTGAACTTTATAATAAGAACTGAAATGGGTTTCTTGAAAATTAGTTATCCTATATAAGATTATCATTTTAGTATGAGTTTACCGTGCCAAAAATATGCATTCTATGAGTATGTAGATCCAATCAAATTAGTCCCCGGGTGACCCCGAGGACAGGTTCCAAAAATTGCTTTCTCCGGACACTTTTCCTCCCAAACGAGAGTAAAGGCCAGGAACACCACGTACCTTTCAGTACTGGGTTAAAAACCGAATGACATTAAATTTCCATCTCATTTTATGCGTTTCCTTTGTACATTGAAGGATAGTGTTTGATCGCCATTTCTATTTCTCTGCGCTCTCTCTCTCTCTCTCTTTGAAGAGCATCTAACTTTGCTTTGCTGAACATTGCGACAAGCAAGTGGAAAGCAGTGGGGAATAACCAATCAGACACTCCAAATGGGCCGATGCTTTGTCTTCTCTGCTACTCTGTCATGTTGATGGTCTTTTTTGATGCCGCACACTATCAACCAAAAGTCCAACAAAATGCTAATATAGCAACCAGCAGCGAACATATTCGGTTTAATTACCCATATTTGAGGTACTTGAATGTTTCTGCCCGGCTATTCCGCTGTGGTGGATTGACAAATTTTGGAAAGTGTTTTCCGGAAGGATGCACAAATAATCTTTCAGGCTAAACGTAAACAAAATTTTTAGACAAAAATTTTCTTAGGGATGCTTATAATTTGTCCGTCAGTTAGGGGTGTTATATTATCCCATAAATATTGCGAGGCGCCGTGGATGGCGGTCAGTCCTGTGGTCAGGCGCGGAGCGAACGACCTTCCCCATTGGAACGTGAGGGAACTTAGAACATATAGGTAAACATATATACAAATTTTTTAACTGGACTCCCGTAGGGGTCCCAAGCCATTAGTTATCGAGTCCCTCTAAGGCGCACTGTGTCCGTGCGCTCGGAATAGAATCTCCCACTTTTCGACACTACCGGACTCCAAACTCCCCCTCCCCCCCCCAAAACCCATGATTTTAGGGGGTTATCAATGTCATAATTGGAGTAGTCCAAGTTGAGAAAACGCCATTTTTTAATTTTTGGGGGTTTTTACAAAGGAAGCTCGGATCCGGTCGAGTGATACACCAATCGACAGCTCTCACTGAGCCAAGCAAAATGAGCTATCACACAGCCGCATCCGAGCCAGGCTGAGAAAGATATGGGCTGCGCGAGATCACGAAAAGTCAGGATTTCCGGCTTTCGCATTCTGATGGCGAGGGGTCATCCGCGGCGGAGGGCTATGGAATGTTACTTTACTAAGAAGCCAGTATCCGTCCGTCCCTGCGTCATGCTAGGTCTACGCACCCATATGGATTGCTCTGTGGGTTTTCGAGTTCGACTATTTCGACCTATGTTGGGCATATTTTGACCACTATTTCTGAAAAAGGTGCGATTTTCGCGAAAATACGTCAAAACTTGGCACATTTTGGCCGTTTTGATAGTGGACAAAATGTGCCAAATTTTTTTATCATATTTGTTGCCGTTATTTCGTTTTTATAAACTTCTTCGTAGTCCTTTCCAAATAGCTCTTGTATTCCTGTATGAAAACTTTTCCAGTGGCACAGGGATACCTAACCCAAAGCTTTTTACTGGATTCATTTGTTTCTTCGTCGACTTTCCATAGTGAGATTGGGACCTTTATGGTGACAAATATGTTCAAACCCCCTAAGGTGTTGGCACATAGGCCTTTGGATGGCACATAGGCCTTGCATACTCATAAGAGTATTTTAGATTTCACAAAGTTTAAATTTTCGGTGTATATTGGATGGCACATAGGCCTTTGGATGGCACATAGGCCTTTGGATGGCACATAGGCCTTTGGATGGCACATAGGCCTTGCATACTCATAAGAGTATTTTAGATTTCACAAAGTTTAAATTTTCCGTGTATATTGGATGGCACATAGGCCTTTGGATGGCACATAGGCCTTTGGATGGCACATAGGCCTTGCATACTCTATGAGAGTATTTAAGATTTCACAAATAATATATTTCCATGTCAATAAAAGAGAATTTTTTATTTAAATTAGGAAAAAGATAGTGAAGATTAACCGAATAGCCTAGGTTGCTACTAATTAGGAGCCCAAAAGGCTCTCAGACATAGTAGTCCTAGGAAAGTTTAATAAGAAAGAATTTTTCCGGGTTTACGATCCTATATTATGACAGAAAAGACATGAAAAACTAGGAAAAAGGATTAACGTTTTAAAATTGGCTCACTGTTTCGCCTAAACTCCAGACAGTGAGCCCAAATTTTATCTATGAGCTGGGCTCTTCAGTGAAGCGCCCATAGATTATTACGGTCTAATTGTAGGAAGAGGGGTTAGAGAAAAAATTAGGAGTAAAAGATTTTGATATGTGTATAACTCATTTAAAATACATTTGTATCCGTTCTATATATCTAATGACAAGATTGTTAAAAAATTTTTTGAGAACTATTTTTTATTTTTATATACTTAACTACGTCTTAAGGCATGACTAGAAATTAAGAAACATTTTACTTTCAAAAAAGAGACTCAAAATACTTTTTCTTAAAGATACCTTCGAGTTGAGATCCGTGATTTCCATGTTACGTCCAAAGGTGTTCTTAGATTGCTTTTCGCTGAGATTGCTTTGCTCGAGTAGCAACATATCGGAAGCATTCTGGTTCATCTTGAAGCTGATTGGCACTAGAGTGATCGGAAAACCAACGATATATTCTTCAGCAAGCGCTAGAGACTAAATCAATTTAATTAACAAATAGTGTGATTCATAACTAAAAGCAGAAGTACGTATCAATCAACAATTGTACAGATTCAGTGGAGATATTTTACTTAACCAAGCCAGTATAGAAATTGTTTGATGAGAGTTCGAAAGATTGTTTTAGATACGATTACTGAAGATTTTTTTGCGCTATTTTAAAATTTGAATTGCGGGTTTTCAAATTTTTGATTGAGTAGAATAAAATTTCATGGAGTGATATATTTATAATATCGATTTTTAACCATCCTTGAAATCACGTATTAGGATTGTTAGCTGTTTAAGCTATGACAAAATTTTTTTGGTGAAACTGTTTGGTGACAGAAATGGTAAGCTTATTTGGCAAAAATTTCGCTTAAAAAATTAATTCATACTAATTAATAATAAATTTTACAGGCGTCCGCCATTGCCTGGCAAAAATTTTTCAATAAATATTGAGAAATTTCAATCTAAAAATTTATTTCAATGATTTGCTATAGTCAATTTTTAAAGAGAGAGCCAATTTTTTCCAAAAAAATTTGGCGCTTTTTTTCCGCGACTTTTCCCATATATCTAGGATTTGACTACATTTTGAAAATAAGCACCCCTAAAAATGCACTGGGAAAAGGGTAACGGACACCCCGACAGCAGCGAAATAGTAGTATAGAATTGTGCCTACATTAGTGTATTTTGCCAGAAATACAGAAAAATTCAAAAAAAGCGCCGCAGGCAAAATTTTTTGAAAAAATTGGCTTTCTCTTTAAAAATTGACTAAAATTTCTCATTGAACTAAGTTATAAGATTGAAATTTTTGAATATTTATTGAAAAGTTCATAAATTTTCAGCACAAAGTTTTGAAAAAACAATGAGGCAAACTACAAAGTTAAGCAGAAAGCAACGCTGCAGGCGTAAATTTGTTAAAATATTAAACTTGTTTGCCAAAAATTGACTTTGAAAAATGTTGTAAATCTTTCGAATTAATCTGGAAGTATAAATGCATCAAATTCTAAAAAGCTAAAACTGTATTGCTGAAAAAAATATAGAAAAGAATGAGTTTTAACGAAATAAAATTAGTTTAATTTGGTAAAATAGTGAAATTTTCAAAAATTTTCAAAAATTTTCGCCTGCGGCGCTGACTGCATTCTTAGGGGTGCATGTTAATATCTGGTGCATCCGGCGGACCCCCCCCCCCCTAAAATCCGGAAACCGGATACCGGATGCAGCCCTGGTGTGCATCTCTCTTAAGGTCGAGAGAGATGTAAAAGCAAGAGACCAACTAAAGATAGCTTTATTCCTATGAAATTAGAAGAATGATGTCATGGGCGTTTGAGATTCATCATTAAGTCAATTAGGGGCTCCGAGGGGTAATAATTAGAGAGCGGAAATAAATACAGGGGAAATAATAAATCAATGTCGATCAAATATCAATCAAATTCGCAATACTTGCGTTGTCCAGTTGTAATTCGGGTAACATTCTCTTAGTGCGTCCGTATGTGGCCGTACACATGGCCATGGATCATTGGAGAAATAACAAAATAGTAGAGAACTAGACGGTAAATGGGCGCCATGACGCCCAAGGTTGCATTGTATAGGTATATTGACCTTTAAGTTACTACGGAGATAAATTTATGGTAAATTAAATCAAGCATGGCAGCGGACCGACCTTTTGCCCGGTCCGGTCCGCTCGACCCCCCGGTCCGGTTTGGTACGGTTAGGTCCGGTCTATAAAAGGTCAAAAATTTTTCTCGGCGCTACCTTCGGTAGCGCCGAGCTTTTTTCGCAATATTTTTTGTAAAGGTGTTTTTAGGGTATTTCGATGCGCTGATTACGAATCTGCAATCATTTTTTTTCGTATCGCATCAAGAATTTTAATTTTTGGTCTAAAATTTTGGCAAAAATTTCGCGAATATTGGTCAATATTTTGTGAAATTTTGACCAAAATTTGCATT